AGGTAGGTTTGCATGAAAAATGTGAACCGGATGCACATTTATCCCTTCCAGACCAACCTTTCACCAGATGTGGAGCTGGTTTCAACTGCCAGGCCTGTCAGCTTTCTTATGTGGAATAGGGGAGATGGGCGCCATCCTTGTATTCACACAATAAAATGTTCTGAGTTGTCCATGGCCACAAGGAGGCCACAAGCTCAGTGGTGGAACACATACTTGGAAAAGTTATGTCCTGGGTGGGGATGAAAGAATCTGTTAATTTTGGTTCTCTCAGTTTCTTGCTTTTCCAATCTTAAATTCAGTTCTCTATATTTTGACAGCATTTCTGCTGATTTCTTTTTTCTTCTTAAATTCTCATGAAAACTATTCACTATTAATGTGAATTTATCCCTACTGAATTTAAGCCAACATACCTCCTGCTGATTTCTTATATTTAGAATGGCTCTGTATGCAATTAACTTAGCACCAGGGAACATGGAACGCTTTCAAAGAGTTTTGTGTTTGCTTGCTCCATCTTCCAACCAGTTTGACCATTAAAAACACCAAGAAAGTGGTTTTCTCTTCTCTTTTAGTGTCGTCATTTTGCAGGTTGATTGTTGCTGCATCGGAAATGTCATTGATTGCCCTCTTGGACTAAACGGTAGCTGCTTTTCTTGATTTCTTGTTGGGACATAGAAAGCAAAGGATGGCTCTTTTTTCCAACTTGTGATCTCCCTAATCTTTTAAAATGCATTGATTTCCAACTTTCCCTACACTGAACTCGTTTAATGGACTATTGCTTACAAAGTTGATTGATGGAGACTGTGACTAACAGTCTTCGGTAAAGGGTGGGGGTTTTTTGGTGTGTGTGTGTGTTTTTAAGTAGCATTCTCCATTAAGGAGTTAGAAATCTTCATTGGTAAAGCTCCTGTCATCTTGAGCGATATAATTTGACATTATAATCTTTAAAACAAATTCTAAAAGAATTCTTTTAAAATTGCTCCGTATGCGCTTCTTGATAACAAAATTATCAGATGAGCCACCTCTGGTTTCAGGGGTGGTAAGATTCAGAACACAATGGCAAAACATTGTGTATTTTGCATTATTAAATATTAGGAGACAGAGAAGAGCAGGTGTGCACATTTGTCAGCCCTCAGGTGATGTGCTAGTGTAGCCTTTCTCAAACTTGGGTTCCCAGATGTTGTCGGACTACAACTCCCAACATCCCTGACTATTGGTCCTGCCAGCTAGGGATGATGGGAGTTGTAGTCCAACAACATGCGAACACTTAAGGTTGGGAAAGGCTGTGCTAGGGTGAAGGATGCCTATTTTCCCCGCCCTGAACCGATACCTCTAGAATGAGCATTCGTTGTGATATTAGCATTCATACAACAGCGGCAGCAGATTGTGACAGGTCATAGGGATTCTATTGTACCCCCCATAAATGCCAGTGTAATCAAGGCTGGATCATAAACATGTTTTTTACGACTTCTTCTTATGAGCTTTGTAAAAAAAGTTTTTAGTCCTAACAGGCTGGCATGCTTCATGTAGCCAACTTGTCACATTTTAACACCCCCCGAGGCAAAGCCATACAGATGCCTCATTAATAAAGATTGTTTCTCTGACAAGAGGCCCATTATATAATTAGAAAGAGCACTAATGAATTTACAACCTCCAGTTGCTGTGTGCTCAGTGCTGTCCAGTGTCATCACAGATCCAGAACAGGCATTTCATTACTTTGTAAGCCCCTGACTGGACATCAAATATCATCATCACTATTATTTTTATTTTTATTTATATACCGCCTTCCTCCCAGAACTGGGAATCAAGGCGGCTCACCAAAATTAAAAGGAGCATGAATAAAACACAGAAAGCTAAAAGCATGTACAAGATAATAGTTGAAAGGTAAATTAAAAACATTCCTTGCTTTGTTTTGTCCATAACGATGCAGCTTCCCTATTTCCAGTTTCTGGTCGCTCTGCAACACTCTGTTGTCACATTTTAATAACGCATTATTACCGTTACAAACAAAACGTGATGTGCCCATCTACGTTATGAAAATGATTCCTTAACGTTATAAACCATGAGTGTAGATCTGCAACTAGCCTCACAGAACTGCTAGACTGGAATATTCAGGACAGTCTCTTCCTCAATGCAGCGAAGTGGAAGTTGTGTGTATTTATATGGTTTATAAGCGGGATGGATATTCTGTATGAATATCTTTTTAGCCAATATTTTGACTACTGCACGTTTGTTTCTGATTAAGCCTCTCACCACTCAAGACTGCTGTGCGTGCAGGCTCTGATAGTACAATCTGTGCCATGTACTTTAAAGAACTGTGTTTAAAACCTTCCCCCAAAGCATTTTTTTTTAAAAAGCCACTTGCAAAGCAGTGCAATATTTGAGAATTCAAAGAGTTTCCACTGTGCAAATCCTCCCCATTCAATATGTGTGTTCAGTTCCCCAGCTGCTCTCACATGGCTCATTTTTATTTCTTGCCCTGAACTTTGACTCTATGATTTCACACCCTTTTTTCCTTGCCTGGTATGGCTTGATCTTTTCAATAATGTAAGCAACAGATTTATAAGAGCAGCCATTAATCTTTGCCTTCTGTTCTTACAGCCTTCCTTCAGCTGACATCACTCATAGCTAGACACATATTAGTAAGGAATATGCATTTTTCATTTCCTGGGTTTTCAGAAAGTGAAATTGCATCCCCTTGGGTCATAACAAATATATCTGGAGGAACCGTGGTTCTACCTGCTTAAGCAATTTCTCCCCTTAGGATTTCTCGCTTTGAGAAACTGCACAAATCAGGGCAATTTCACACGTTCGTGTGCCTCACCTGCTAAATATAACCCACTGATAACCTATCACAGGGAAGCACGACACTTCCCCTTTATTTCCCAGGAGGGGTTCTGCTTTTATCACTCCCCACTACCTTGCTTATGAAAGAGTCTGAGCAGGAACCCATTTGTGGCGAGAGAGGAAGTGGGGCAGGAAGCCACTTCTGGTTCTTGATGCTGTCATTTGCCAGCAGTGGGGTGGAGGAAGGCAGAAGCTATAAAAGGGCCTTCCATCCTTTCCACCTCCTTCTTCAAAGGTTGTCACAGCACCTAGACAAGCCACCTAGTATGCAGTGTGAAACTGGCTGGTTGGCATAGCGGGGTCCAGTAGGGATTTTTTTTCTTCAGCTGCAAATGGCTTGCAGCTGGGGAAGTTTTTTTTTTTTTGCCAACTCCACACTGCACTACAGGTGTGTGCAGGAAAGGGAGACAGGGAACAGGAAGTGGTGTGTATGCTTGAGGCACATCTCAGGTGATTAGCGAGTCCAGCGATTGTACACAGGGCTCTGTGATCCATGGGAAAGGGTATGGATAACCTTTCCGGTGAACTTAAGCCACTCACTCAGAGTTATGTAGCTTGGAGGGGATAGGAACCAGGAACAACTTCCTCCTCACCTTGAAGGTGTGGCAGGGCAAATAGGAGCAGGGAACTTGACTCGCTCCAGGGTGTAAGCTCAGTGATGGCCAAACTTGGCCCTCCAGCTGTTTTGTGACTACAATTCCCATCATCCCTGACCACTGGTCCTGTTAGCTAGGGATGATGGGAGTTGTAGTCCCAAAAAAGCTGGAGGGCCAAGTATGGCCATCACTGGAGGAAGGAGGGCAAAGCAGACTCCAAGCACAAGTTCTCCAGGTTATAACTGATATCCATGTGAAAGTAGTATGCACAGCCTTCTCATATACTCAGCTATATTCATTCTATATACACTCAGCTATTCATTCTAGCACACCCGATCCTAACAGCTATAAACCCTAGCCCTTTAATAATAGGATGGGGTATGTCATATGCAAAAACTGCAGTCCAGCTAGCATTTAAAATCAGCTTCATCCCACAGCCATCTTCATAAATTACGGCATAGAATCTTCCACAACCAACTTAGCATGAACCAACATTCCTAACATAGATATTAACATCAGCCTAGTCCTAGACATGTACTCACTTACATTTATCCCAATTAGTCTATTTGTAACATGACCCCACTATACTATCTGCTAGTAAAGTCAGCTAATAAAGCACTTGGGCCCGTATCCTGAAAATGTTGGTTGAACCCCCTCCTTTACTATTGAACCCTTTCATTATATCTATCATAATCTCCAACCTGGCCATTGGAGCAATCATAACCGCCGCCAGCTACCACTGGCTTCTATGTTGCAAAATATGAGTCAGCAATATCAAAAGCAACACGATGGCCAGAAACAATAACATTGTGAACAACTTTATGGAATAATTCAAAGCATCAAAACTAACAAACTGAAGTCTCTGAAAGTCTTTAAATGAATCACGGTGTCAGACTTTACCCAGCGGAGAGCAAGCTGTGAAGCTCTGTATAATCAGCAAATGTCCAGTTCTGATGTCCAGCTCTGAACTCTGCTGAACAGTGTTCAACACTTGTAAGTAGAAAGATATGTAATTTCTTCATTAACCAATCTTTTTTCGAATAGATATAATGAAAAATACTCTGGAACAGTGCTCATGTGATTATGTACATAATCGCATGAGCACCGTTCCAGAGTATTTTTCATTATATCTATTTGAAAAAAAGATTGGTTAATGAAGAAATCACGTATCTTTCTACTTGAACTAGAACTTGAACTAATTGGCTGATGAAGAATTCAATGAAACAGTAGTTGTTATCTGGAAACATTGTTCAGCAGAGTTCAGAGCTGGACATCAGAATTGGACATGTAAAGTCTGGCACCGTGATTCATTTAAGGACTTTCAGAGACTTCAGTTTGTTAGTTTTGATGTTTTGAATTATTCCATAAAGTTGTTCACATTGTTAGTGTTTCTGGCCATCGTGTTGCTTTGATGTTGCTGGCCACTGGCTTCTAGCCTGAATTGGACTAGAACTAAACACCTTAGCCATCATCCCAGTTTTAGCCAAACAACACCACCCACAAGCTACTGAAGCTGCAACAAAATGCTTTATTATTCAAGCAACAGCCTTGGCCATTATCCTATTCTCAAACACCCTTAATGCGAGAATGGACCCCAATTGCTTGCAAGCACCCACCCAACCAACCCAGACCAGATCCAGCAGAGGTGATGACAATAACACTCAGGCTAGGAGGCCAACTCCTGCCAGGTGGATCTTCCCCCAGACAGCTGCCTTGATAGCTGTTAGAATCATAACAGGCTTGGCGGAGTTGCCCTCCTTCCTCACTGATGTCCATGGCAGTCTGGTTTGAATCCTGCCTGGACCCAAAATGTAATACATCCTGCCTGGCTCTACTTCCTAGAAATCATATCCGAGTGCAGGTTTCTGCAGTACCAGGTAGGGGGTAGCAGTTAGCCAAGAAGTGATTGCATTCTTAGGTTGCTGCTAGTGAAGGAATCCTTCCTTTTCTCTTTGCAGTTGCTGTTTCTCTGCTTCTGCTCCTCGCCTGCTGTCGGTTCTTTGTTCCAGGCACAGTCAGGCCTTAGGCTGAGTCTGCTTGTTCATTTTCTTTCCAGCTTTACTGTTGTTATTTTCCCCTGTATGAAAATATAATAAAATCAATCCTATGGAAGCTATTCCATACGCAGAACTGCAGCATTATGTGGTTTTAATGACATTTAAAGGCGGTGAAAGTGGCAAGCTCAAATCTAGAGGTAGGAAGGTGTGTTATTGCAGGAACTGGTCAAAGTTGCTTCTCTACCAGCTCCATCTGATACACAGGCTGAGACCCTACCTGCCCGCGGACTGTCTTGCCAGAGTGGTGCATGCTCTGGTTATCTCCCACTTGGACTACTGCAATGCGCTCTACGTGGGGCTACCTTTGAAGGTGACCCGGAAACTGCAATTAATCCAGAATGCGGCAGCTAGATTGGTGACTGGGAGTGGTCACCGGGACCACATAACACCGGTCCTGAGAGATCTGCATTGGCTCCCAGTATGTTTCCGAGCACAATTCAAAGTGTTGGTGTTGACCTTTAAAGCCCTAAATGGCCTTGGTCCTGTATACCTGAAGGAGCGTCTCCACCTCCATCGTTCTGCCCAGACACTGAGATCCAGCGCCGAGGCCCTTCTGGCAGTTCCCTCATTGCGAGAAGTGAGGTTACAGGGAACCAGACAGAGGGCCTTCTGGGTAGTGGCACCCGCCCTGTGGAACGCCCTCCCTTCAGATGTGAAGGAAATAAGCAGCTACCTTCTCTTTAAAAGACATCTGAAGGCTGTATTCTTCAGGGAAGTTTTTAATATTTAATGCTGTATTGTTTTTAACACTTGTTTGGAAGCCGCCCAGAGTGGCTGAGGAAACTCAGCCAGATGGGCGGGGTATAAATAATAAATTATTATTATTATTATTATCTCAGATTTCTAGGGCAACTGGGCTATTATTTTCTATTCCAATTTTTTTGTTTTGCTTTTGTTTGAAACTCAGATAGGAAACGTTTACAAGGAGACTGGAGTAAAGTATACAGGAAGTCCCCATATACCAAGTTGGACCATCTGTCCATCTAGTGTAGTATTGTCTACACTGACTGGCAACAGCTCTCTAAAGTTTCAGGCAGGGGGTCCCACCAGCCCTCCTTGGAGAGACCTGGGATCTTCTGCATGTAGGTTTCTAGCCTCGTATAACTCTAGCATGTTTGAATCTAGTTAGTGCACGAAGGAGTTAAACCATAGAGTACACTGTCCTGCCAGGCTTATCCTACATCACTTCCCACCTTGAGAGCAAATGGGTCACCAAGCCTTTGTTATCGCTCTCTCTCCATGTGGATTTTGGTATCTCTGAGTCCGTTGCTCCAGCATATTGCTTTAACTAGCCTCTTTTGTTTCACATCAGAGTGGAATCTGAAACTAGCCTTTCTCCATACCCATCGTTTAGAAACTATTACCTTTTGTAACTAAGCAGCATTTTGACTGCCTGTGCAGGTTTTCTGACTGCTGTAATTAAAGACACATTAATCTGACTTTTGAAGAGTTTAGTAAGTAAACAATTTTTTTGACTTGCCAAACATGTGGTCTATCTCTATGCTAGAGAAGTGAGGTAGCTTGGAAAGAACTTTAAATGGGGACATTTTTGGGACTCAACTGGAAAGGCACATATGAATGGGAAAAGATAAATGAATCCATTACATTAGGGAAAATCGCTTTGCAAAAATGTATATTAGAAGAATTTTGCGTGGGAATCTGATTGTTCACTGTGATAACAGGGTGCTGGACGAGATAAGCCTTTGGTCCCATCCAGCAAGGCTTTATATAAATATACTGTATATATAAATTCTCATGAAATGAATTGACAGAGTAAGCAGATTCCTATGTGGCTCTGATGATTCCAGCTATGCCATCCGCAAATCCTGCAGTCTTAGTGACTTAAGTATTTGATCCTCTCTCGGCCTGCTGCTAGTTATATGAGATATTACCTGTCTGTTTGAAGGAGGCAGTGGTAAAACCACTCCTTAATAAACCTTCCCTGGATTCGGAAAACCTAACTAACTACCAGAGCCAGTTGCTAATCTCCCTTTCCTGAGTAAGGTTCTGGAGTGAGTGGACATAGACCAGATCTAGGCACTTTTGGAAGAAACCGATTTTCTGGATCCATTTCAGTCGGGGTTTAGGCCCGGTTTTGGCACAGAAACTGCTTTGGTCGCCTTGTATGATGACTTCTGTTGAGAGAGAGATACAGGAAACATGTCCCTGTTAATTCTTCTTGACCTCTCAGTGGCTTTTGATACAATTGACCATGGTATCCTTCTGGAGCGACTGTCCAAACTAGGGGTGGGTGGCATTGCTTTGTGGTGGTTCCAGTCCTACTTGGATGGTCATTCCCAGAGGGTGTTGTTTGGGGAATGCTTTTCAGCCCCACAGAACCTTCAGTGTGGCCCCACAGGGCTCAGTCCTATCCCCTATGTTGTTTAACATCTACACAAAACCGCTGGGTGGGGTTATCCAGAGGTTTAGAGTACGTTGTCAACAGTATGCTGATGACACTCAGCTCTATTTCTCCTTTACACCTGCAGGTGAGGCAGTGGAAGTGCTGGAACAGTGTCTTGCCTTGGTAATGGACTGGATGAGAGCTGACAAACTGAAACCCAATCCAGATAAAACTGAGGCACTGTTAGTGCTCTGAAGACGGTTCAGAAACTTCAGCTAGTGCAGAATTCAATGGCCAGGTTGCTCACCGGAGCAAGACAGTTTGAGCATATTACACCGATCCTGGTCTGACTGCACTGGCTACTAATTAGTTTCCAGGCCCAATTCAAAGTGCTGGTTTTGACCAAAAAGCCTTAAATGGCTCAGGACCACTATACCTCAAGGACCACCTCTTTTCATATGAACCTACCCGGACCCTGAGATCATCTTCTGAGGCCCTCCTTCATGTGCCTCCTCCTCGAGAGGGTGGCAACATGAGAGCGGGCCTTCTCTACAGTGGCTCCCTGTCTGTGGAATGCTGTCTCCAGGGAAGTTCGCCTGGCGCCTTCATTATACACCTTTAGGCGCCAGGCAAAAACATTCCTTTTTAACAAGGCCTTTGGTTGATTTCATTGACATCTTATGCTCTTTTAAAATGTGGGTTTTTTGTGGGGGAGGGGGTTTATTGAGTTCTTGTTTTTATTTTGATTGTGTATTTTGTGGTTTTATATTTTGATTTTATTCTGTGAACTGCTCTGAGACCTCTGGGTATAGGGCGGTATATAAAACCAATAAATAATCATAATAATAATGTAATTGGCTGTTCTTAAATATTGATTTTATTTTGATAGCAAATACCGAAGTTGGTGGGTATTTCCATTTGGGCAACTGGTTGGAAAGAAAACAAATAAAGTAAGAAGAAAGAAAGAAAGAGAGAAAGTACCCAAGAACATCCTTTACCTCTCTGCACATCCAGACTTTCCATTATGTGGTATTGCATCAGAGGCGGGTCAGCACAAAGAAAGCAGAATGTTGGCAAGATAGATGAGATGCAGCTCAAGAGCTACTTCATTATCAGAGTTACTGTCATTTTTCATCTGGACAAGGGAAAACAGCCCTCTTCTGTTTTATCTGCAGTTTTCTTTAGAATTTAAGAGTTTTTATGACTCTTGCGTTGGTCTTTCCCCAAGCACTGGAAAGTTCAAGGCAACCTTTGTATGGAAAGTAGAGGTGGGTCCAGCAGTCAATTTTGGTTTCTCTCAGTTTCTCATTTTTCCACCCTTGAGTTTAGTTCTCAGCATTTCCACACCGGTTTGCGATTTTTCTTTTGAGTCCTCGTGAAAATTCATCTGCATTTAGGTGCTCGTTTCTCCCAATTTGCACATTTTTTGCTAAGCCATTCCCCCCCCATATAAATAATTTGTATGTGTGCGTTTCACTCATATATGCATTTTTAAAGCACATTTTTATCCCAGTGGTTGGAGAACAGCATTGCAAAATTTGGAGAAGTGCCCGTTTTGAAGGATGTCTGTGTTTTTGGAAAGTTCAGCTGAGGAAGGTTTGCCATTAAATGAAAATCGGATCAGGTTTCTCCTCCATCCCTGGTGGAAAGTTTCCTTCAGAATGGACAACGCCGATGAAACTGGTAACCTCTCATAGAATTCTCTTAAAATGTTCAGGCTGGGAGGAGACGATAAGCATAAGAACAGAAGACGTATGACCTGCAGGATCAGATCAATGGCTCACCTAGCCTGGTGCTCTATTCTCACAGACGCCAACCAGATACCTGTGAGAAGCTCATAAGTAGGGCCTCAGAGTGACAGCACTCTGCCCCACCCCCTGCACTTTCCAGCAACTGGTTTTCAGAAGCATAATGGCAGTAGAGGTAGAATTTAGTCTTTGTGTCCAGTAGCCGTGGATGCAATCCAGAAGCAAGTCAGGCTGGATAATTGTTGTTGTTGTTCAGTCATTTAGTCGTGTCTGACTCTTCGTGACCCCATGGACCAGAGCACGCCAGGCACTCCTGTCTTCAACTGCCTCCCGCAGTTTGGTCAAACTGGTAGCTTCAAGAACACTGTCCAACCATCTCGTCCTCTGTCGTCCGCTTCTCCTTGTGCCCTCCATCTTTCCCAACATCAGGATCTTTTCCAGGGAGTCTTCTCTTCTTAAGAATTCATTCATCCTCAGCTTCACGATCTGTCCTTCCAGTGAGCACTCAGGGCTGATTTCCTTCAGAATGGATAGGCTTGATCTTCTTGCAGTCCATGGGACTCTCAAGAGTCTCCTCCAGCACCATAATTCTAAAACATCAATTCTTCGGCGATCAGCCTTATGGTCCAGCCTTTATGGTCCAGCTCTCACTTCCATACATCACTACTGGGAAAACCATGGCTTTAACTATACGGATCTTTGTTGGCAAGGTGATGTCTCTGCTTTTTAGGCTGCATAATAAATCCTATATATACAAGTTTTTGGACTTATTCTATGAGTGTGGCACCTTCTGTTGCTAAAATGGTTCCATCTACGCATAAGGGGAGTGAGCAGACTTGGGGAAACCCCAAGATTTGCAGAGGTAGAAAAATAAAATAAAGGGTGGGGGAACAACCCAAATTGGGGATGGGAATCAGAGACAGTAAATAGCTCAGTGGCCACAGAATGCTGGATTATGGGGAGGGGTGAAAAACCAGGGAGAGGCAGAATGGATAGATGGGACATAGAATGGGAGAACTTCACACTGCGACAATTTGCTGCAGATCCCACTTGTCCAATGATGAACAAAAGAATGTGGGAGCACTAAGAAGAGATAGCTATCAATGATATAATACATTTTGAACTGATTTGAGATGATAGCAATAACATGTATTGGCAGAAAAGAATGGTAATTAGATTTATGGAGTAGATGGGAAGTCGGATTTAAAAGGAAGAGACCATTACAGTTTATGGATTATGGAATTTGTATTAATTCTTTATGTAATGTGTGACTGATGATATTCTTATTATGGTGTAATATGTCTTTTTGTTGTTGTTATGTGTTGAGCAAATAAAATAAAAAATGTAAAAAGGGGAAAAAAGGAAAAGAGAAGAGAGCTATCAAGTGTTGCTAAGAATTGTAAATGCATCAATTTGAGCTTTACTTTTGATTGATTTGAGTACCCATTTCCAGGTAGCTGTGTTTCCTACCCAGGGTTTAGGCCCAGAAACTTCCCAAGGAACACAGGCTGGGCTTTTCTTATGGTGTTTTGGGAAATTATGGGTCACAGAAGGCTCAACTTTTGGTTGCTCCAAGACTAGTAGACCTAGATCTACAGGATCTGAGAACTTCAGCCAATAAAACTTGTTCTCCTATAAATTGGGGAATCACCACAGCTTTGTATCTGTATACATTAACCATCTGAAATTCTACGACAGCACTAACTCTGGCTTGCTTCAATGTGCTGCCATCAGCACTGCTAAATAGATGAATTAATAAGTCCTGGACTAATGAATGGACACGTTTGTGTCGAGATAGAGCAGTAGAATTTGTTGAACAGGTCCTCCTACATTGTAACCCGTATAGTGAATGTAGAGAAAGATTAATTCTCCCTCTAAAGACAGTTATATCTCCTGCAAACTTGGTGCTCATTTGTTTAAAGAATGTGTCCTTTTGTGACACTAAGAGGGCTACCAGTTTTTTTCTGACCTCGATGCTGATCAGGACAAAATCATTGTGCTTGCTTCATGAGAGAAGAAAAATGCATAATTATTTGTATTTGCCCCCTCAATGTGCCTTTTATCATTGTATTGAATTTTACTGGTCTGTGACCATAATAAATCGCTTGCTTGCTGCCTGTCTTCTATTGGCCCTTCAGTTAAAAATCAGTAGTGTCTGGAAGTCAGTGCCAGGTCTGAACAGGCACTGATGTTTAGAGCTAGAATGGCAAAAGGTTATTTGCAATTAACTCAATCCAATCTGTCACTCCAGATTCTGCTCTGGCTTCACCCCTGAATCAGCAAGATCTCTCCCTATCCTTAGTTATGCCTCTTTTCCCTGTCTGGCATTTCTTTTTAAACAAACAAACAAACAAACAAACCAAAGTGACCAACTCCAGCCCCCAGGTGGACTTAATGCAAGGTCCAAAGTCCAAGATGCTAAAAGCTATCTTTCCCCACCTCCCTTTGCTCTTCTTGCAGGTCTGCTTGACAGGAACAGGAAAGCTTTTCCTGGGTTGTACCAATGTGAGCCTACTGCATCAGGCCAAAGGCCCATCTGGTCCAGCATCTGGTGCTCATGGTGGTCAACCAGATTCCCCTGAGAGGCCTGAAAGAAACATCACTCTTCCCACCTGCAATTCCTGACAACTGGTATTGCAAGGCGTTCTGTCTCTGATAGTGGCTAGAAGCCACTGAGAGCCTTACCCTCCACAAATTTGTCTAATCCTCTTTCAAAGCCATCCAAGTTGGTGGCCATCACTGCTACAGCTTGTGGGAGTAAATGCCAGAGTTTAACAATGCTTTGTCTGATTCTTTTGTTTTTCCTGAATCTTCCAACATTCAGCTTCACTGAATGTTGCAAACATCATCATCATCATCATCATCATCATCATCAATTTGTTATTTATATGCCACCCATCTGCCTGGGTAGCCCAGCCACCTTTGGGAGGCTTTCTACAAACTGAAACATCAAACACAGCAAAACAAACATTAAAAACTTCCCTAAACAGGGCTGCCTTCAGATGTCTTTGAAAAGTCAAGATAGCGGTTTATTTCCTTGACATCTGACAGGAGGGCGTTGCATGGAGCGGGCACCACTACCGAGAAGGGTCTCTGGTTGTTTCCCTGTAAATTCACTTTTTGCAGTGAGGGAACTGCCAGAAGGCCCTCGGCGCTGGACCTCAGAGTCCGGGTAGAACGATGGGGGTGGAGACGCTCCTTCAGGTATAAAGCATCAAATGGACAAACAGGTAGATTGGTCTAGCGATTCTATCCTGCTTCTATCCTCATTCCATGCGTTCCTCCATACTTCTGTGCTCTGTTTCATGAATGGGGTTGTTGAGCTAAAAGCCCAAGAGCTGAGCCTTTCAATACCCTTAACTGCTTTCATCACAGAATCTCATTGTAAAGAAGCAATCCAGATCGTGGCTGTATATTTGGTGGGAGCAGCCAACTGAAATAAGGAACGAGCGTTGATCAAGGACTCCAATGGTGACCCTGTGGTGTGTGGAAGTGAAGTTAAATAACGGTACCCATGTCTACCATTTACTTCCCTGAGATACATTTTGTATCGTGACTATTTCTTTGTCAGTTTGAAGGAGGGCTGGGGAGATGAAGTGGTTTGTTTTCTCCTCTTCTCCTAAACCGTTAGTCATGCAATTCTCTTTTTAAACGATAGCTCATTTCATCGTCTCTGCCTGGCTGAACCTTCTGTTCTCCAAACTCCACCCTCTCCAATAGACGCTGAGCAGCTTACAAATTGGCAACGAGTTAAATGTCTCAGAGACTGATGGCGGCCGCTGAGTTTAACGCCTGAACCACAGGCCTGCTGCTGGCTCTCCAACAGCACAAATCTTGTAATCAGCACGTGCCTCACATTCGCTATGGCGGGTATTTAAGTGGGACGTGGCTGAACCGTGAGTATCAAGATTTAAGCCATTTTGTTGCTGTTGGGATGGGGTTCTTTGGCAGCTTGCTACATGCTTCTTTCTTTCTTTTTTACCCTCCAGCATCGCATCCCATTCAAGTCAACAAGGTGAATCCTGTAGAATGGTGGTTCATACATGCATGGCGTCCCCTGACGACTGCAGCTTCACATGGCAGCTTTCATGTTTGTAGAAGGACCAGTCATAGGTGTGATTGGGGAAAGGTAGCTTAGGAGCAAAGTATCTGCTTTGCAGGCAGAAGATCCCGGGTTCAAGTCTTGGCTTGTCTAGGTAGGGCTGGGAATGTCCTCAGTCTGAAACAGGAGAGAATTGCTGCCAGTTGAGCTAGTTGGACTGATTGTCTGCTCACTATAAGGCAGCGTCTTATGTTTCTATGTGGGACGTGGGTGGCGCTGTGGGTTAAACCACAGAGCCTAGGACTTGCCGATCAGAAGGTCGGTGGTTCGAATCACCGCGATGGGGTGAGCTCCCGTTGCTAGGTCCCTGCTCCTGCCAACCTAGCAGTTTGAAAGCACGTCAAGTGCAAGTAGATAAATAGGTACCACTCCGGCGGGAAGGTAAACAGCGTTTTCGTGCGCTGCTCTGGTTCGCCAGAAGCGGCTTAGTCATGCTGGCCACATGACCCGGAAGCTGTACGCCGGCTCCCTCGGCAAATAAAGCGAGATGAGCGCCGCAACCCCAGAGTTGGCCATGACTGGACCGAATGGTCAGGGGTCCCTTTACCTTTACCTTATGTTTCTATGTAACTTTTTTAGGCTGGTAGAACTTATGCTTTTAAAGAAGAGGGTTGCTGGCTCAGGCCAACAACCCATCTATTCCAGCATCCTGTTCTCACAGTGGCCGCCCAGACGCCTATGAGAAGCCCTCTAGCAGGACAACAATGCAACAGCAATTTCCCCAATTGCAATGCCCACCCAGTGGTATTCAGATGTGACTGGGCTCCAGAGGCGGATTTGGGTTCCATCACTCTGGGAGCTAACACTAGAGGGTGCTGCAGGGCTCTAGAACATCGTGAACTGAGCAGCATGGAAGATGAGAAGCAGGGGTGTGTCAAATGTTGGCTTTGTGCAGGGCACCACTGAAATTTTAGTGACCAAAGTCTGCCACTGTGGACTCCCTCAGAGGGTACTGGACTCTCCTACATTGTAGGTATTTAAACAGAGGTTGGATGGTCATCTGTCATGGATTCTTTAGCTGTAATTCCTTCATTGTAGGTGTCATTTACAGTTCTAAGATGCTACAAATGTATAGACTCTTGGGAGTGGCTGAACCCAGGTACAGACAACTTGTACCCAGGTATAAGGTAATCTATGAAACACACCCCCCCCCGGTGATGTGAGAACTGGGACCTCACAATGAAGGTTGGGAATAATAATAATAATAGTAATAATAGAACCTATGTTAGGAATGCAATTACTATATAGCTGCAAGGGTAACTGTCACAAATAACATCTGTTTGTTTGTTTGTTTGTTTTAATATACAACCCTTCATCCAAAAATCTCAGGGCGGTTCACAAGATAAAAATACAGGATAGAAGCACAAAATAAACAGGAAAAAAACCAATAATCCCATCCCACAAACACATGTAAATGCTGTAGTTAAAAAATGAAGGTGGCGCTGTGGTCTAAACCACAGAGCCTCTTGGGCTTGCAGATCAGAAAGTCAGTGGTTCGAATCCGTGTGACAGGGTGAGCTCCTGTTGCTCTGTGGCAGCTCCTGCCAACCTAGCAGTTTGAAAGCATGCTAGTGGAAGTAGATAAATAGGTACTGCTGTGGCAGGAAGGTAAGTGGCGTTTCTGTGTGCTTCCGTCACTGTGTCCTGTTGTGCCAGAAGTGGGTTACTCATTCTGGCCACATGACCTGGAAAGCTGTTTGTGGACAAACACCGACTCCCTCGGCCTGAAAGCGAGATGCGTGCGGCACCCCATAGTTGCCTTTGACTGGACGTAACTGTCCAGGGGTTCTTTACCTTTTACCTTTACCTAAAGGCTATAGAATATTAATCAGCCAAACGCCGGGTTGAAGAGGAACGTTTTTGCCCAGTGCCTAAAGGCATATAATGAACCTGACTTTAAACAGAGTAAAGTCCATTTGCGGGATCTGATTTCTTTCTGCAGGGCCTGCAAGACAGAGCTGTTCCGCCTGGCCTTTTGTTTGGACTCAGTCTGACCCTTATGTTTCCCTCCCTTTATGTGATCTATGGGCTGCTTTTAAAATGAGGCTGCATTTTAAATTGTATTTTAACCTGTATTTTAAATTGGTTTTTTTTATTCCCCTATTATGTTTTTACTGTAATTTTTACGGGTGTTGGCCGCCCTGAGCCCAGCTCTGGCCGGGGAGGGCAGGGTATAAATAAATTTTGTTGTTGTTGTTGTTGTTGTTGTTGTTATATCAAGCTCAGGTTTCTCCTTAGCTGTAACTCACATAAGTAACGTAAGCCACTCTGTGTTCCTCAGACGTAGGGTGGCATATAAGTTCAATAAATAAGTAAATAAATAAAAATACACGAAATCAATAGCAAGGGAAAGGAGCAGAAACTACCTTGACCCACAACTTGCTTCAGTGTCATAGTTTGCAGCTAGACTGGCCTGAGGAACAACTGAGAATCAAGCTTTGCGGGGGCAGTTTGTTCTCTGGCCACCCTCCCCATCTGCCGAAAAGTGTCTCCTGAAGCTGCCTCTTCTTTAAATTTACTATAGGGCGAGATTTATGCAGGGCTAAGGCTGGTATAGGGAACGGAAGGAATGAGTGTGGAACTGTATATAATTTGTTGCCTAGCAACCCCACAAGCACACCCCCTAATTCTTTCTCGATGCGGCAGGAAGCAACAGGGAAATTAAGACCCTTTCCGCGTTGTCCCTCCAGTTCCCTTCCCATTAATTAACCTCCGTGATCTTGCCAGCATGAAAGAGGATCTAGAGTTCAGGCTTGTCTACAATTTACTGGCGTTTTACGCATACGCCTTAACTCCGAGATGGGGAGCCTGGCGCCTTCCAGATGTTGTTGAACTAGAACTCCCATCCCTCCTGACCACTGGCCATTTTGACTGGGGTTGATGGGACTTGGTGCAATACAACATCTGGAGGGCCAAAGGTTCCCCACCTGCAAATTAACGGAAGCCTGATATTAACCTTACTTTACCACAAGTCCGTTTGTCTTATTAAGAAAACTCTGGAGAAAATTAGGGATGGTTTCCTCCTTAATTATAAGAATTAAGATATGCAGGTTTCTGGTGCATTTTGAGATTGAGCTTTCAGGCACTTTAACTGTTGAGTTGCATGCTTTTGCCTATAGGTGTTTTCTTAAAAACACCCCCCCCACACACACAACCCATTCATAGATATTTGTTTAGGAGGCAATCCTATGGCAAGATCCTTTGGGATGAGCAGCTTTGGATGCACTGGGATCCCTGGCTGAGCTGCCTGATTTCAGGCTCAGACAGGCTCAGTTGGCATTAAGTTGACCAAGCTCTGCTGAAGGTAAAAAGGTAAAGGGACCCCTGACCATTAGGTCCAGTCGTGACCGACTCTGGGGTTGCGGCGCTCATCTCGCTTTATTGGCCGAGGGAGCCGGCGTCCAGCTTCTGGGTCATGTGGCCAGCATGACTAAGCCACTTCTGGCGAACCAGAGAAGCACACGGAAATGCCGTTTACCTTCCTGCCGGAGTGGTACCTATTTATCTACTTGCACTTTGACATGCTTTCGAACTGCTAGGTTGGCAGGAGCAGGGACCGAGCAGCGGGAGCTCACCCCGTTGCGGGGATTCGAACCGCTGACCTTCTGATCGACAAGTCCTAGGCTCTGTGGTTTAACCCACAGCGCCACCCACGTCCCCTGCTGAAGGTACACTGGCATAATTTGCTCCCCAGCTGAACTGAAACTGGCTGAATTGAAGCTGGTGCAATTCTCAAAAGGGAGTGTTCTGGAGGTACGGCAGAAGCAGGACCACAGAGCGGGGATTAAACTGGATCCTAAGCCCATTCAGTACAGTCATGTGAGCTGGGAACCCAGCATAGAATCCTGTTTTAAAGGCTTGTTTCCCCTCTGCCTGGCTCTGTTAGAGTAGCAGCTGCTGCCCCACCGCTGAACAGGGCTTGGATCTGATGCAACTTTATGCTGGCTTAATTTACACCAGCATGTTGCAGGGGGTTGGAATAAATGACCATTGGGAGCCCTTCCAGTTCTACAATTCTACGATTCTATGTTTTACACATAGGGTGCTATTCAATTAAGTTTTAGTCCAGTGGTTCTCAACCTGTGGGTCCCTAGATATTGTTGGACTACAACTCCCATCACCCCTGAGCTCTGGCTTTGCTAGCTAGGGGTGGTGGGAGTTGTAGTTCAACAACATCTGGGGACCTACAGGTTGAGAAAGGCTGTTTTATTTGGGGAAGAGCTGACTGGAATTAATAAGCATGAGTAAGTTAGGACCAGAGGCGCCAACTTGTGAGGGAGATTGTGTGTGACGTTGCATCAGGACATTGGAGGAGCCAGGAGCCAGGGTGGTATTCAGTTAAGTTTTACTCTGAAATTAATGGACATTGAATTTAAGAATTCAATGAATTTAAAGAGAATTGAATTTAAAGAGTTGGACGCATCTGATCTTTATCTCCCTTATGCCTTGCAGGCTGAGTTTGACAGGAGAGGAAGGTGGCTTCCATGATCAGGTTCACAAGAACACTTTCCCCCCTTTATCCTCTGTAACTGAATATGAGAACAGAAATGGCTCCCTGCATATGCAAACTGGTCCACCCCAGCTGTTGTTTATATGCAGTGGATCCACACACATATTCACCTAGAGGAATTGACGCTGTCTGTCTCCCTCTGGTTATACAATTAGGGTTATGTTAACTTGCCATTGGGAGTATAGAAATTCCACTGGTGAAAGAAAGAAAGAAAGAAAGAAAGAAAGAAAGAAAGAAAGAAAGAAAGAAAGAAAGAGATGCCTGTATTAGCTTCATGAGTCAGACCTGGGTAATGTTGGCTCCGTGGCTGATTGTTAAAAGTTTGTACAGTCTAATCCTATGCTAAATTCTTCAGGCTGCAATCCAGCACACATTTACTTAAGCATATGCCACATACAACTCAGCGAGCCTTACTTCTGAGTAAACACATGCAAAGGTTTGGGATGCACATCTCCTTACAGGTTCCCGCGTGATTTGCAACTAAAGTCAATCTAATAAGGGTTATGAAGAAACGATGGAAGATATAAAACTTACAATTACTGATTTATGCAGTTAACAATCTCAACACAATCAACAAAACAAAAACGTTTCAACATTATTCACCCCACACACCATAGGAGCTGAATCTCTTGCACGTAGGCCCTCTGAAAGTATTCTTCAGTTGGGATCCAAAGTTACATACAGAATCTGCTATATGTGGACAAGGGCTTGCGAAATGTTGCCTTTAAGTGGCAGCCTCTGGAAATGTTATCAATTCACAGAGTTAGATGCCGCAACATGTGGGGGTGGCCCCTGGCTTAGAGATGTCAGGATTCAACCCTGACAACAATCCCTGACAACTGGAATCGGTTGATTGATTGTTTTGTTGCTGACCTGGGTTGCTGGTCAACTCTGGCAAACACTTTGCCCCTTGCCCCCTGCTTATGTCATCCCCCATGGCCATAGGGAGATGTGGGCACATGCGAGTCTACTTGGGAGGAAAGAGAAGCTCATCCAAGCCCTTGCCTAGGTGAGGGTCAGGCTTAGAATCTGGCAGAGCCTCCATATCTTATCTAACCATTAGTCTGAAATGGAAGACTGCTGAAGCAGTAGCCGTAAATGTATAGATTTTGTAGGTACGTGCAGCCCTTCCAGGAGCCAAGGCTACCAAAACTGCCCATCCCTGACACAGAACATGCATTTCTGAGCACACTGCTTAAGCACGTGAAATGTGCTTAATTCTTCCCAATCCTCCTGCTAAAATGCCTGCTCTTCCTGATTACAGCATCTCTGACGCTCTGCTCCTAGCAGTCAAGAATATGCTTTGCTTCACTGGGTTCTTAGCCAGCTTGCTGCAATGCAGTACGTTTCATAGGCTTACTCCAGTGTACAAAAGCTCAGCACTGCTTATCCGCTGTGAGTTAACAGCAAATACTGATTATCCCCAAAGAGTAATAGCATGATTTCTCAATACAGGAGGGTTATTAAAAAAAAAGAAAAAAGCAATCATACAGTTAACAAAGACTAGGGGCTGACAGCCAGATTGCATACAGGGCATAATTATTTTGCCCATTAATTAGGGTATAGCTTTGCTCCTGAGAATGTGCTTATTAAAATTTATGCTGAACGATAACTTTTAGGTTTGCTCTGAAAACACAGAACTGGAATCTCTTACCATAGGCAAAACCACATTTTTTTTTTAATAGAACTAAAACATAGCATGTGTGACTTTTTGCTTCTTCGTTTTCAGAGTCACAGATTGGATTTAAGTTCAGTAGAAGCTCAATTATTCAAATTGCCTAGGCAGTCATCCAGAGAATCTGAAGAATCATAATTACCATCACCATTATTTACAGTTATCAGGATAATTGATTATAATCTCTATACCTAGCTTCTCAATTTAAAAATTTGGTGCGGTTTTGGGGGTGGCGGCGGCAGCAGCCATGTCCCCAGAGTAATTCCCATGATAGAATTTCATGTGATAGAATTTCAAATGCAAAGAGACTTTACCCTGATGTTTACTGTGGGTCAGCCATAGCATTTGTAGTGGCACCTCAGATGTGGACTGGGCTACATGGAGCACAAATAGAGATGCAGCAGTTGCCATAGGAACATAGGAAGCTGCCTTATACAGAGTCAGGCCATTGGTCCATCTTGCCCAGTACTGTCTGCTGTGATTGGCAGAAACCCTCCAGGGTTTTAGACCTCCTTGGCGATGTTGGGGACTGAATCTGGGATCTTCTGCATGCAGAGCAGATGCTGAGCTATGGTCCAGTGTGGTGTAGTGGTTAAGAGCGGTGGACTCGTAATCTGGTGAACCGGGTTCACGTCTCCGCTCCTCCACATGCAGCTGCTGGGTGACCTTGGGCTAGTCACTCTTCTTTGAAGTCTCTCAGCCCCACTCACCTCACAGAGTGTCTGTTGTGGGGGAGGAAGGGAAAGGAGAATGTTAGCCGCTTTGAGACTCCTTAGGGTAGTGATAAAGCGGGATATCAAATCCAAACTCTTCTTCTTCTTCCTCCTGTTGGAGGTAAATGCAGCATTGCTAGGAGTGGAGGAAAAACAGGATACCCAATATATGTGAAACCTGGCAAACCATCCTTTAAATGCCGTTGTGCACAGTAGAAAAGAGGTTGATTAACGGGTGCGGATTCTTAAAAGCTACTTTTTATTTTTCAAAATCATCAAAATACCCCATATAAGTCACAGAGCTCTCTCCTGGCGGTTTCCTACTCCAGCAGTACTCGAAATATTATTTAATGCAAGATGCATTTTCCAGGAAACAGGCCTTTTCTCAGCTGCTTGGAAGCCTGAACACACTTCTGTGCATGCTTCCCGGATGTGCGATAACTCTTTAAAGAACAATGCTCAAAAACTACAAAGTTCCCAGCTTTCTCATTATAAATAATAGCAGATTCGAAAGCACTTTCGCTCGGTAGAGTCTGCTATGATTCATATTTTATCCTTGCTGGTGTGATGCCGTGAGGCAATGTTCTCATTTTTTTCAGAGGAGAGATTGAGAAACCTGTGTAAAACCACCCAATGAGGTCTCAGCTTATTACAGTTCTCATTTCCCGGGGCCAACACTGCTAATGGAAATGATCCAAGAGTATTGCAGAATCCAGTTCAAGATCATGGGTTGATTTACACTTTGCTTGATGACAGCTGTGGCGTTTGCCCTCCTAGGTGGGTCATAAGGAAAGGGTTAAATGAGTGTGAAGTGATTGGCCAGTGGGAACCCACGGGGAGGAGTTGGAGTTGTTTGGAAGTCAGTTGAGAGTTGGAGAAGGAATAAGGAGGATAAGTCTGTGGGTTGGTTGAGTTTTGATGTGAGATAGTGAGGGAAACTGATAGGAGGAGTCAGATAGACAGTTGGGATAATCAGTTAGCAGTTATTAGGAAGGTATAGACTGGTATAGAAACTAAGGATAAGAAACTGACAAGAAAAATTAACTGAAACCATAAACTTGTTCATGCTTATAAAATAAACTTGATTATTTGTTTTAATGTTAACAACTGTCTGGACTCAGTGTGTACCCGAGAGAAATGGGTTGGTGGCAGCGGGGAAGTGATCATAGTGGTGGCACAGGGATCAATAGACCATCAAACGTCCGGGGACCCTGTGTGATTGCCACAAAAGCGATAGTCTTATGTTCTTAATATCAGCTGATGACTTGCACATGTGAATGGGTGACCACTTATCTAATTCTGCAGGTACAGCCTTCATAGACACTTGCATCTGGAGTCAGTTGACACATCCAAATCCCAGCCAATAACTGCTGAGAGAGCAAGGGACATACACGAATGTAAACCAACTCCCCAAATTGGGGGGACTGTTTCTCACTTATGATCACTATGTTGCTGAAAGGTGTTTATGAACACATTGTGAGACAAGTCACTTAGGCTCAGCCCCCTTGATCTGGGGTATACATGCAAACATCTATAATCGTGATCCCTTATCATTTTTGCTCCAGTGGGTTCAGAGCTGTTACCCCCAGAATAGCTCATTGCTACCATGATGCTAAGAATGTTTTCTCAGAATAACACAGCAAGCTCTTTCTAATCTATCTAAATAAAACTCCTACTCACTTCATTTGCCGGTTCACAAAACAGACTGTTTATTCCCAGCATATAAGAAGCAGAAATGAACTTGACAGAAAAGTCTTAGGGTGGACTCTTGCCCCAGAGGTTCTGAATTTAACCTCTTAATGATCAAATTACTAAAGAGAGTGTGATGGGATTGCAGCCTGAATAAACAAACTCAGGCAGGCTTCTAGATTCCTGTGTTTTCTCAGGCTTTAACTGAGCAATGTTATAGTCTATTGCACCATGGTTGCTGTTGGCCTTTGTTTGCTTATCCTTTACTGTGGGTGTATTTTGATTTATTGCTTTTTAAATGATATTTTAGGCTGAGAATAAGTCCCATTGAATACAATGAACCTTCCTTCTGAGTAAACACGCATAGGATTGCTCTGTCACATTGTGTTTCATGTGACTTCCTTCCAGCTAAGTGCATATAGGACTGCAGCCTTCACTATTTTTCTTGAACGATAAGCTGCTCTGAAGTAGGGTGTTGGCAGATAAGCCTATTTCTGGTCCATGCCATTTTTTTCTGTGAGTGCCATCCTAAATTCAATCTGCCTCATTTCTGTTTTCCATTTGCTAAGCTTTTAAAAACAACCCTACATTAAAATTCCCATTTACCTAATGCAATTTGGGGCCCCTCCAGACATCCTTTTGAAAAATCATGCATTCATTACGATATGTGCCGACCATGATATGATATGATATGATACGATACGATACGATAATCTTTATTGGCATTGTCCCATACAGAACAACGGAATTGGAAAAATCTACACCAGACATTCAAAAACCAACAAGGCTGCTATCCCAGCTATCCCAGCCTGGTTAGCCCCCTAAAAACTCTGATACCCCATAATTAAATACAATATACTCCCATAGAGACTACCTTACACTGCATTTGTTTTTTACTGTATTTTTTGTTTCTATGGAAGCCGCCCAGAGTGGCTGGGGAAACCCAGCCAGATGGGCGGGGTACAAATAATAAATTATTATTATTATTATTTATAACCAAAATCGCATTTGGATGGAAACTGTTTCTCAGGCGGCTAGTCCTAGTCTTTATAACCCTGTACCTTCTTCCAGAAGGCAGAAGCTGAAAGAGATTGTTTCCGGGGTGTGTACTATCCTGCACTATCTCTGCAGCTTTCTTATGACACCTGGAAGCATAGATTTGATCCAAGGTGGGAAGAGTGGTTTATGATGGTATTGAAGTGGTTATATCTATCCTATCTCGGAGTTTCTGATTTTAATTACTTCTTAATGATTATCTTTCATATGTCTTTGTATTTTCTCTGATTTGCTTTCAATTTGTGTAAGCCAACTTGAAGCCTGGTCTGAAAAAAAAAGGCGGGATAACAACCACCACCATCACCACTACCTTTGATGATTTCACCAGGAGCATGATAGAGGTAGTCCCTCTCCAAACAACCTGTGAATCTCTGAGCTCCTCCTTTCACTCTCCTATCTGCTTGCCTCCCCACCTGAACTTCCTTGTTTTACTGCCCTGGTAGCAGCAGAAATGGAACGAAGGGAGGGTAGACTTTTACTCTCTCTTCCTTTCTGGGGAAGAAGGGGCATGAGTAAATACAGCAGTACCGCTAGTTACATAACTCTCTGGTTACGTAAACTACAGGATGTGCGAAAGCGGCAAACCCAGAAGTATATGACCAGGAGATTCCACCTAAACATTAGGAAGAACTTCCTGACAGTAAGAGCTGTTCGACAGTGGAATTTGCTGCCAAGGAGTGTGGTGGAGCCTCCTTCTTTGGAGGTCTTTAAGCAGAGGCTTGACAACCATATGTCAGGAGTGCTCTGATGGTGTTTCCTGCTTGGCAGGGGGTTGGACTCGATGGCCCTTGTGGTCTCTTCCAACTCTATGATTCTATGATTCTATGATTCTATGATTCTAGGTTTCACCACTCGCGCATGCACAGAAGCGGTCCTCAGGTTGCAGAAACCTTGGGATCTGACCGGACCTCTGGAACGGATCCCATCTGCAACCGGAGGTACCACTGTATAGCAAAACTTCATTTCCTAGAGATAAGAGGCTCAGGTGGACAGGATGCTAAACTCATATTCGCATCCCAAGCTCAGGGTGGTACCCAACGAACGTGTTCCACCCATACAAGGATTTCTGCTTCTGCAACAAAGCCTCCTCTCTCCCCTTTTGCACCCCCTAAATTTGTTGTTGTGGTTCCTCCAACCCTCTAGATCAGATTTGGGGAGCATGGGGGGGGGCTTACATGGGGGGATGGGGGAGTCCCAATGAGAAAGTGTGAATCCTTGCACTGATGCAACATATTAGGTAGATGCAAACTGAATAATCATGGGTTGATAATTATTGAGATTGCAGCAAGCAAGAAGGAATACACCCCTTTGACCTTTTGCAGGCCTTCAGAAAATCTCTCCTCTAAAAATGTTATGTGAATTAAGAGGAAGTTGTCCATTGAGGGATTTCCTTTCCCTGAGCAAATACCAGCTTCAGGTAAGGATCTTCCTCAGGTGTTTGGCAGAGGAGGAAACATAACGTTCCCTTCTCCATCTCTGCTGAAATCGTGATAATTATAAACTCCACCCTGCAGCTGATGTTGTTTGCATTTTTAGAAACCTGCCTATCATGCCGCTGCAGTTTTTTCCCCTTCTACCTGTCACCAGTGTCAAGCTGATTTCAGGTTGGCAAATGACAAGTGCTAATTGATGCTAATGAACATGAGCAGAATGAAACAAATCTGTGCTCCTGGAAAGGACTTGTTCACACATGAAAACAAGCACACACACTACACACACTGATACTTCTAAGTGGCTTTGAATATTGTTTTTAATGGTGTAACCCACACTAATACCTTAGAGCAGGGGTCAGCAAACTTTCTGAGCAGGGGGCCAGTCCACCATCCCTCAGACCTCATAGGAGGCCGGACTATATTTTTTAGGGGGAAATGAACGAATTCCTATGCCCCACAAATAACCCAGAGATGCATTTTAAATAAAAGCACACATTCTACTCATGTAAAAACACACTGATTC